TCAAACTCCTGCCCCCAAATCCACCTCTCTGAATGGGCCTGAGTGGGGAGGTGCCCATCTATGAGTATGGCCCTGCAGAAAGACCATTCCAGATTCAGACTACTGGCAGAGGTGGGTTAAATACTTCCACTCGGAGAGGATTGCCTAATCTTAAATCATCATTGTCAAAAGCAAACATCATGACGCCTTTAAGTGACAGCTTTTATGTTACTGCAAATTTACTGTTTCGGAGGGACCAAGAGCCAGAAGGTCAGTTGTTAATTCTTAGCGCGGAGTTAGAATTTGTTGACATATGCAACATTCCTTTCTTCCCTGATTTATACACACATATAAACCTCACACTCTATTAATGAGTCTCATTGTTTCAAAGATAAAGTCAAGATTTACAAATAGCCTTCAAGATTGGACCTTGCTTACCTTTCTGGCCTCAAGTTGTCCACTGGACCCTCTTTCTGTGCATCCAGCCATCTCGTCTTCTTCCTTGAGGGGCCTTTCCCTGATCCTCATTTCCTGGTCAGGCCCCCTATCTCCACCCCAGTTATGTATTCTTTTGCCAATTTAGCAATCTCTGCAGGATTTATACGATGGTAGTCAAGCTATTAACTAGTTGGCTATTTACTCCATATTCCTAAATATCAGCTTCCAGAAAGCAGAGACCATCTCTGTCTTATTTCCAGAGACCTAAGGACTGTGCCTGGTATATATAATGGGTAAAAAATATTTTAGTGAATAATAGGGGTCCTGAGGGGCAGAATATCTAGGCATCCACACAAATATGGGGATGGGTTTGGCTCAGCTGACTAGTCCTGGGAGCCAGAGACATGTGGCCTGGATGGAAAGTGGAGGCAGTCTGAGGACAGGCTTGCAGGCCAGCTTGAGAGAGGAGGCTCAGCCATGGCGCATATCACAACAAGGCCTCAGACAGCATTTTTGAGCAGAGAGAGCACTCTGGGATTTGGCTTTCTGGTTCCATGTTTTTCTGAGCAACACAAGATGGGAAGGAAAACAGTTTAGAAGGAAACACAATGTTCATTTACTCCTCGATGGTCTGAGAAATCCTCATAAGGAATAGGGCAAGTTAGAGTAGCCAAAGTCATTCTCCACCCTGCCTAACCCAGAAGGGACCCTGGTGCTTGGGACATTAGAAAAGCCATGCAGCTATTTGTGGCTTCTGTTGAAAGAACTCCACTGGCTTTGGAGTCAAAAAGACTTGGGTTCAAATCTCTGTTTCCACTTGCTAGCTGTGTGAACCCAGGCAGAGCTTCAATAGCCTTTTTTCGTAAAATGGACATAATTACTGGCTCACTATAGGAATGAACAGATCATAAGCAAAGCATCTGACCTAGAGGAGGCACTATAAGTAAAGAATAGTTAAAATTGCTGTTGGTTTGTTATTCTGTCAGCTCCTGGAGGGACATTTGGCTCTGATCGCTGTGGATTTTTACCCTTCTATTTACTAGGAGTTATATAATAGCCCATTGTGAGACGGAAGTTTATATAGTTGTTAGGAAGTTTGCTTCTCAAATCATAGAAAAAAAAATTGTTTTCTTTAACCAAGTGTTTGGTCCCATTAAATCCAATTACATCATCGATTCAGAAACTTTATGGTTAGAATTGTGTCCAACAATTAATATGCTCTTGGCTAAGTGGAAAGGGAGGCCACCTCCGTTCTGCTATCCAGAGACCACAGGAAATGCTAGACTCAGGTGTAGAGCCCCATTACCAGGTAATGTTAGGAGGAACACACACAGAGGCGTGCATTCCTGAGCGGTGAACGTAGGGGTTTTTGTTTGTCCGCTCCTTATAAGGAATGAGTTATCATCAATCCCACAGAAAGGTCATGGCTTTTTCTCTCTCCTCAAGTGGCTGAAATCAGCTTTTTGCCTCAGAGGGGTGGGGCAGTGATTACACAGTAAATACCCCAGCATTTCAGATATCCAACTATGAGGATGTTGACAAATCTTTGCAGCAGAATCTAATTTTTGGGGTTTTGTCTGATCCTAGGGACTCTCGGAAAATGAACTTGGAAGCTTCCCCTTTCCCTTAGAAGCAAGTCAGCCCGAAGGTCCACTTTTGCTGCCAGGGGACTGGTTTGCAAAATTGGCCTGGCGAAAGGAGTTGAAGCTGTGTTTTTTACCTTCGCCACAAGCTATTTTTTCTTTTCTTCACTTTCCGTTTCCCTTCACTCTTCTGCATTGACGTAGGGAGCAAGTGGCTGTTGAGAGGTGCGGGGAGCCCCGAAAGTGACAGGTGATGCTTTTCCTTTTCTCAAAAAGATCAATTCTTTATACCTCATAGAAGCAAGGCAGCTCTCCAAAGCTCGAGCCTTGCCTCCTCACTGAAGCCCCAGCCCTAACCACCCCTCTCCTGTCCTCAGGACTCTCACTGCTCCATCTCACACCCAGTGCACAATCTGATTACTCACTTCTCCACGGTCTTGTGATACTTTCCTGAGCATGGTGGTCTGCCCTCCTCACCAAGACCATAGGTTCCTCATAGGCAAGAAGACAGCTTCTACTTCATCTGTTGGCCCTGAGGGCTCAGCCCAAGTGCTGGGTATTAAATGGTTGCTCAGTGGAAGCTGGTCAATGGCTTGATGGAAAGTCAATTAGGTTATGTGGTCCAAGGAGCCTAGATGATCTCCTCCTTTCTATGCTTTGTTGAGAATGAGCCCAAGGTTATTGAGAGCTGGTTATCTGAAGGCATCTAGATCTCTACCCGACACTTGCTCCTAGTTCCTGGAGTTGACCAGGCACAAGAATTTCACTCTCTCTTCCTTTTGTAGGTGGCCATATTTTAAATCCACTTTCCAGATCCTCTTCCAGTCCCATGGGAACAAGCCCTACTCTGTGCCCAGCCCTGTGCTCAGACATCACTGCAAAGGAAGCAGAGCTACTGTCCTCCCCCCAAGGAACTTCTGGGTAGTTCAAGACTGAAAACACACATCAAGAGATATTTCCATGTTCCACCCATCAGCCTTTTTCTTACAAAAAAAGTAGGGGAGTGAGAAGACTGTAAAGCTTTTATCATTTATCTGCTTTCCTGCTATTACTTTCTGCAGCCTGGGAACTAGGACCAACTTTTCAGTGTCCCCTTTGCGGTTCCCTGACATCCCTCACAGACCCCCTTGTGGGTTTTATTGTTAATTGCTATAACAGCAAATAAGAAAACAGGCATGAGTAAGTTACAAATGTTCCCAAATCTTTTCTTTTAGCCCTTACTGATACAAGGTAAATTGGTGTAACATTTCCGGACATGAAGTTGACAATATTGCCTTTAAAAGTTCTTCCAGCTCCCTCAGATCCTTCTGGAGCCAGCATGGGGCGGAGTCAACTGAGCGGGGCAACCACATGGGGAGCTGCCCCTGCTGGGGGTGCACTGGCTTTGAGTGAAGCCTGACCCAGGGCAGAGCGATGCTCTAGGATGCCGCAGGCACCCTTCGTCAGCACTGGGGCTGGGCTGAGGTGCTAATATTTAAGAGGTTATGATATTACAACCCACGATATTAAAAAAAAAATGGAACTTATGTAGTTATATTGAGGATCACTCCGTTGATGTGCCTGGATAAAGGATCTCTAATTTCACTAATAAGAACTTGAAGGCAATAAAGAGATTTCCAAAAACAGTTGGCAACTAACTATTCCATAAGTGGAATAGTTGAACAAGCTGCAAAATGCCTAAACTGTATAACATGGTCTATGGCAGAAGGAAAGTTCATGGGCTTTCACCCACCTCGGCCTAACTCTGCATAGTCCCCATCTCCTGTGGACTTTCTTTCCAGTGCGCTCCTCCCTGGTCTCTCTCCAGGTGACATACAGGTCACAAGGGCATGAATATCGGTGTCTTTTCTTTGTCTGTGGTTATGTCCTTTGGCTTTGCCAGTGTGAGCTTATAAATTGTTGCAGGGACTCTTCCCCACCACTTGGCTCTCAGGAGACCCACTAGATTGTGTGGGAGAGAAGAGGATGGGAAGTGGAACGGTGCTGAGGGCTTCGGGGTGCTCCCACCAGTAGCTCTGATCCTTGGCTCGTTGTTTAGAAAGAAAGTGCCAACGAGCTACAGGGCCGATAGAAAGAGCACTGTTGGCATTGCTGTCAGAAAGGCTTGATCAGAATTCCAGCTCTGCCATGTGCCTGAGGGCAACATGCCTAGCCTTTCTGAGGATGGCTGCAAGGGTCCTGGGAGGTATGTATAGAAAAGCACATTGTGAACCATTAAGATCTAAGTAAATGCCAGGTGTTATTAGCCAGAAGGGGACAGGAATCACAGGAACAGAATGGAATAGTGGTGGATTTTTGTTTGCTTTATTCACTGCTTAATCCCCCACACCTAGAATGGTCCCTGACACAGTTGGCACTCCACTCAGTAAACCTTTTTAAGTGAATGAACAAATGAATAAATAACCTGTGAGTCCTATTGATTATTCTCTCTCTCTTTTAACCTGTAACATTTCAGGCTTATCTTCCAAGAAAGCAGGTGCTGTGTGGAAGTGGATAAAGACACTGGAAGAGAGTGTGGTTTCTGGCTTTGTGAACTGAAGCCATTTCTTAATCATTCTTGGCCTCAGTTTCCACATCTATCAAATGGGAACAATAATTTGATACGGAGTCTTCATCTCAGGGATAGCATGTGATCAACAAATGAGACTATATAGATTTAAAGGCTTTCATGTGTATATGGTGCTTCTTAACTGTAGCATGTTGGATCACGGCAGCCCAGACGGGGACTCTGATTAAAGGATCTCTGTAGATCCTCACCTAGGTTCCAGTGAGAAGTTAGTCTCAGAGATGAAGAAAATCTTTTATTTATTAGAAGTTGCCTGTACTAAAATGAGTCAAGTTATCTGTGTGGGTAGACATTTGTTTAGTTAGAAATTGAATTCCTGATTTGTGTCCAATCTTTTCTAGTGATCCATTTAAGGAAAGGGAAACACTCCCACACAGGATCAGTTTACATACTCTTGAGAAACCACTAACTTGCCACACTTATCTAACAAACGGGCCGGTTCCTGACAGCCTGCTCAAGTCAGAAGCCTTGCGGGAAAGCAGAGAGCTCCCTAAACAGATACAAAAGCTCTTATTTTATTACCGAAATATCTTTTCTGAAAGGCAGCGCTGAACTCCAACAGGCAGACAAGCTTGGGAACAATCCTCAAGGTACAAAGCTGCTCGGAGTGATGGCCCCCCTAATATGCATGTCAGATATTCCCAGTG